AGAAATCTACTAAAACAGCAACACAAACCTTTATAGAAAATATCCAGAAAGCATTAGATAACAAGCTGTTAGTTATGGGTATATTTTTAGATATAAATAAGGCCTTCGATGTAATAAACCATAAACTACTGCTTGCTAAATTTGAGCTGCATGGACTTAGAGAAAAAATGCACTCATGGATGAGTTCATATCTCACTGACAGAACTCAATTTGTGGAAATACAGCAATCAGATGAAAAGATCTCAAATATAAAGATGAATGCTTTATCAAGTAAGGAAATAAAATATTGTGTACATCATGGTTCTGTTTTGGGACCCTTTCGATCCTGTTTTTTATAAATGATTTGCCCCAAGCTGTTCAAGAAACAAAGGTGGTGTTATTTGTGGATGACATAAATATATTACCCACTCAGAAATATTTTATATCTTTAAAATGGGAAATCATAAAAGTTATGAAACAATTAGAATATTGGTTCTTGATAAATAATCTTATAATAAATGCAGAAAATGTCAATGCAATACTATTTCAGGGAAGAGGATCTAGATTAATTCAAAGACCCCTTCTGTATTTATATTACTTACTTACTCATGGAGCTGAGTCCTTCTGGAGGAGCCACCAATTCTGCAGTTACTCAAGAATTTCCCAGCATTTTATGGAATCCAAAGTTTCATTACAGTGTTTACAAGAGCCCTCCACTGGTCCTATACTGAGCCAGATCAATCCAATCTATACCATCCAATCCTATCTCTCTAAGATCCATTTTAATATTTTCCACCCACCTATGCCGCCATCTTCCCAGTGGCCTCTTTCCTTCTGGCTTTCCCACCAATATCCTATATGCATTCTTCTTCTCTCCATTCATGCTACATGCCCTTAACACCACATCCTCCTTTACTTGATCATTCTAATTATATTTGGAGAAGAGTACAAGTTATGAAGCTCCTCATTGTACAGTTTTCCCCAACCTCCTGTCACTTCATCTCTCTTCACTCCAACAAAGAAATAACTTATTTATTAAATTTACAATTTTTAGGTATTTATATCACAGAAAACTTAAGCTGGACCACTCATATACAATACCTTTATTAAAAATTACACAAAGCTCTTTATTTGATTAAATCCTTTTGTGACTCAGTAAGTATACCTGTATTAAGAAATGTTTATTTTAAAAATTTTAATCTATACTAAAATGTGGTATTTTATTTTGGAGGGGGAGTAAATGACAGAAATGCAGTATTTAAAATACAGAAAAAAGATCTAAGACTTATTACAGGAGTTCATAACAGGGTGTCTTGTAGAAGTTTGTTTGGTGATTTTAACTGTAACTTCATTATACATATTTGAGATCTTGTGTTTTATAAAAAGAATAAGATTTATATGACTCAATACTGCAATATGCATAAGTATAACACAAAAGAGAAACAGAATTTGTATGTCCAATTATGCAACACTGCTCACTGTAAAAAAAGTAAAATTAACATGGGAATCAAAACACATACTTACCCTTTGAATTAAAAAGAACAGAAAATGTTAATTTTTTAAAAATATATTAAAAAGTTATTTATTACAAAACTGTTTCTGTTCTCTACAAGAGTTTTTAGTAACAATGATAGATGGTAGTTGGGTAATTCAAGTTACTTTCGACATGATATAGAAATATATAGATGGTGTTTGGACTGCTATCTTCACTAAATATGTGATGTTTGGTTTTACATGGCTGACTTGTGTTTTTGGTGGTTAAGTATATTTATAGCTTTATACTGAATTGCTGAGAGTTGTCATCCATGATTGGTAAGCTATGGCAGGTAGATACTGATCAATAAAAAAAGGGATTTATTTTACATGGTCTTGTAGGTAGGTGAGTCAAATGAAAACAATTAAACTGAGATAAAAATTTGAAATATCGTGCCATTGTCCTATAAGTTGGCAGACATGTTACCAATGCTATAAAGAGTATCCTATAGGTGGCAGTATAATGCAGACAAACAGAATGCCATTACAGTGACGGTTTGAAGATGGCTGCTCCACTACGTACATGCATGAAAGAAGAATGTTCTGTAATTCGTTTCTTGATAAGTGAAGGTGTGAAACTGATTGAAGTTCATTGATGGAAGAAGGTTCAGTATGGTGATGCGTGCTTGTCACAGAAGCAATTGTACAAGTGGAGTAGGAAATTCAGAAATGGTGTGATGTCTGTGGCAGACGATACTTGCCCAGGTCAGGGGCACAGAGTTGTGATCCCTGAATCTATTGCAGCAGTTGAAGCCCTAGTGATGGAGAATCGAAGAGTGTTGGTGGATGAAATGGCCAAAATTCTTAACATGAGTCACGGATTAGCAAACCATGTCATATGATGTGCTCCAGTTTCACAAAGTGTCTGCAAGGTGGGTGTCATGGTAGCTGACTCCAGAATTGAAACAACAACATGTTGATGCCTGTGAAGAACTTCTGTGGCGCCTTGAAGCAGAAGGTGATCGCTTCCTTTCGAGAATTGTTACTGGCAATGAAAATTGGGTGCACTACCAGCAACTGGAAACAAAGCGCATGAGCAAGGAATGGCATCATTCCTCATCACCAAAACCCAAGAAGTTCCAGAAGCAGCCATCTGCAGGGAAGATTATGCTGACGCTCTTTTGGGACAAACGAGGCTTACTCTTGGAACACTACACACCTTGGGGGAACACCAGTGCCTCATATTCAGATCTCTTGAAGAATCATCTCTGACCTGCAGTCAGATCAAAGCAACATGGACTTTTGACTAGAGGTGTCCTTTTGCAACACGACAATGCTCAGCCCCATANAGCAAGGAATGGCATCATTCCTCATCACCAAAACCCAAGAAGTTCCAGAAGCAGCCATCTGCAGGGAAGATTATGCTGACGCTCTTTTGGGACAAACGAGGCTTACTCTTGGAACACTACACACCTTGGGGGAACACCAGTGCCTCATATTCAGATCTCTTGAAGAATCATCTCTGACCTGCAGTCAGATCAAAGCAACATGGACTTTTGACTAGAGGTGTCCTTTTGCAACACGACAATGCTCAGCCCCATACTGCCCATGCAACAGTTGCAACAATCAAAGACTTGCACTTTGAGTGTCTTCCACATCCGCCATACTCACCAGACCTAGCCCCAAGTGATTACCACATGTTTGGGCCACTCATAGGCAATGGGAGGAAAGAAATGCCGTTCTGATGAAGAGGTACAGCAGGAGGTGCAGGAGGTGCATGAGTGGTTGCACAGACAACCACAAGAATTATTTTCTAGTGGAATCCATACACTTTGTAAATGCTGTAGGGCCTGTATTGAACAAAATGGAGTCTATGCAGAAAAATTATATAGTTGTGTACCGGTTTCATTCAATAAATTAAATTAAAAAAAATGTTTACAGTTTTCATTAGACTCACCCTTGTACATTTTTTTGTGCATTTTTAAAGGGTTGTTAACATGTAGCATTTGTTTTCAACTGACTTGTCCAACTGTGCCTATGTAAGAGTCATGGATGTTAAATAAATTATTAATTTATTATTATTATTATTATTATTATTATTATAATCCCAGGCACCTCTGTCGTCTAGTGGTCAGAGTTCCTGCCTACAGATCCAGAAGTCCCAAGTTCGATTCCCGGCGCTACCAGATTTTCTGAGAAATAGTGGGTCTGGAACGGGGTCCTCAGCCTCGTGAGGATAATTGATTAGCTATTTCAAGGAAATAGCAGCTCCGGTCTAGAAAACCGAGATTAACGGCCATGAGAATTCATTGTGCTGACCACACAACACCCTCTATCCGCTAAAGTTGGCACTAACTTCGTCGACAAGCGGCGGTAGCTCGGTCGGTATAGTTCACTTGCGGACTACAGGCCACGGAGTTTAGTTCAGTATGTCACTACACTCACCTGGTCAGGAAGTCCACTGGAACATGAAACAATATTCTGTTTCCCAGTACGTTGTAATCTTTTTCAAAATTGAATAAAAGGAAAACAAGTATGTCCTTACCTCAATTACTTCATCATCCATATCAGGAAACATTGTCTTGAAGTCTGCCATAGCCTGATGAAATTCAAGCTGGGTAGTTTGCTGTTGTACTGTAGCCATCACTGAGATTCTTCTTCCTCTAGGTGATATAATTTAAATTTCCCGGATCACTTCATTGTAAATATTGCAGTGGGTTGTTTGGCTGAATTCATAGTACTTTGGCAATGTTCATGGTTTTCCCAGGAAGAAATTAATTCATTATTAAGAATCATTAGACCATACTTAAAAAAAACAGCTATGAAGGCAGGTAGTTACTACGAGTATAAGACAGTGTCAATGATTAAGTATGTATTAAGGATATTACTATTCATCAGAGTATATGAAATGTGAATATAAGCCAGATACCTAACATTGCACTTAGCCTAAAAATCTTGGTTTCAAACACCCAGAAGGTAAGAAAATACAGGCTAGCTAGACATTCCAAAATACAGTTTGGTGCAGTTTTTCGCAGGAATCAGGAATATAGGGGTTTCTACAATCCATTGTGAGTTGCTGCACTAGCTATTTCACAACAGATGTATCTTCCTCCCTTCAAGTCTTCTTCGGCGGCCATGTTCAATTCAACTAATTTAGCGCTATCTCATGGAACACAATTAACTTTCCCATAGCAATGGAAGAGTGTAAAGTTAGTTTCCACTGAGTATGTACAATTCATGGCCTACTCAGTTAGTGTGGCCTCTGCAAATATCCAAGGTTAATTCTTAACCATCTAAAGTTGGATTTGAGATCCTGACATCGGTTGTTTGAAGGGTTTTATTTTCTGGACAGAACGCCATGTGGTCCGTTGAAAGTCAGCCTACGTTTCGGATGAACATGTGAACTCCATTTTCAGCATGAAGCAGGAAAGAAGTAGAGCTGGTTTCTTGCTTGACTTATTCTTCAGGCCTTGAAGATGGAGAGGTCATTGTCGGTTGACTTTCTACGAAATACACCGCTGTAAGAGGAGATTGAACTCTTCATAACCCTTGCTGTGTGAACTCCAAATCCTGCTGTGATCCGCTTCATGATGTCTTGCTTGGCTTACTCTTCAGTTCAGAAGATGATTGCAACTTCTTCCTTCTATTTTGACATGTTCTATAATTTAGATGTACTGTGGATCTATGGAACGTTAAATAAATTGAAATTGAAGTATTGGCTGACTTGCAATGGACGTTTCGGAGGAACGTCACCATCCTCAGTGTCGAAGAATAAGCCAAACAAGAAACCAGCGTGAACCAGGTGGAGAGCAACGATGGTTAGCTCTCAGTTAATTACACGGCGTTATATCCCAGAAAACAGAACTCTACGTAAATCTATATGTTGATCCAACCATAAGTAGAGTTCAATGGTGATAGCGTCACAGCGGACTTCCTGTTCGAAGTGCTGTTAGAGGTGGCAGGTGATCTGTGAAAGCAGTAACACAGCTGTCAAATCAGGCTGTTGAACGTCATGGAAATGAGGAAGTTATGTACGGGCAATTTAAGCGACGTAGAATAATATTTAAAATGACAAAGTATATAGTATAACGCTATGTAATTTGCATGTCTGAAATTATACTGTGTGTAAATCACCTATAACAATAACAATTAATGCTCAGTGTACAAGAAATGGCAAACAGGTAAATACCTTGTGAAATTAAAAAAATGCACGTTTCGCTGCATTTTTTTATTCCAATAAATGATACAATTAAGGTCGAAATAGCAGATGTGTGGCCCTAGCAACTTTCTTAAATTACGTAAATCGAAAATAATAAATGTTCAAATCCTGAATGATATGAAAGGTCGCAATCTTGTGGTTAGCACACTAGCGCCATGTTCAGAATGGTCCGATTTCGATTCTCGGCGCAGAGGCCGACACGCTTGGCTAAGGTTTTCGTTCTTTTCCTCTGTCTGGTGGCAGATGCTAGAATAGAACCAAAAATGTCTTTGGAAAAGCATTGAATAAGAAAAGATAAATTTCTGATGCTGAAGTTCATGTAACACAGTGCCAATTACATCTTATAATCCTAATAATTCAATTTACATAGCATGTTTTATGAAATTATGTATTCACTTACCTAGGTATCCACTTCATCAGCCACAGATGCAATCTCAGAATCTTGGAAATGGTATAACTCCAGGGTTTCCAAGACTGCAAGCTGGGATCTGGCCACAGCTTCCACCTCATCAACAGTTAGCAGATGAGCAGAGTGAAAAACAGCGTGAATACCTGAAGCAACAGCAGAAACTCAGACTCATGACTACTACTTCTACTCCTGTGTGTATCTTCTTCTTTATTCTCCATGATTTCTGTGAATGACTAAATGTATGGTTGAAATTGTAATTTTTTTGAGACATGTTAAATTTTGTAAATTGGATGTCAAGATATACCAGTCTTTGTAATTATAATACACACTGAAGTATGTGATTAGTTATCATTACACCATGTCCAGTTATGAAATATTTTCCAACTTTTCATTGAAATTTGGTTGTTATATTTTCAAATGCAGGAGTTGTGTACTGCTTCTGCTTCTGCTTTCAGAATTAGCTATATCCTATGTTGAAATATTTCTGTAGTGGCATACATTGCAATCATCTTCAGACTGAATGAGGCAAAAGGAGGGAGAAGTTCATCCTGCAGATGGAAAGAAATGTGTGTCAAAATGGAACACCTGCAGTAAATGAGAGATTTGAGGTTCTCATGATAATGAATATTACCATATTCTAGGATGTGATGTCTGGTAGACCAGTGTTTCAGAAGGTGGAATACACAGCATTACATCCAAGAAGACAGCAGTCTTTAACATCAGTATACAATATGGCTAAACCTTGAAATATGAAGTTACATGTGTCATTAGAACATAACATCAAGAATATGCTACACATATGTTATTAGGATTGACTTTTCTAGTAGTTTTATCTGTCACTAGCTCTGTGGTTCATATCTGAAGTTCTAAATTCTATTTTTTGGATATGTAATTTTTGGTCAGTTTTTATTAACTCATTGCAGCAGCATGAGTTGTATGCGGATTGGCTGCAACTGTCAGTACAACTGCATCAGTACTGGGTCCAACATGAATAGCTTCCCCCCCCCCTTTTTTTTTTTGAAAGTCAGAGGTTGTGAATAATGTTATTTACTTATGTCATTTCTTTTGGGACTGTGCATGAACGTTTACTTCCTACTTCACAGAAAACACATGGTACTTCCACAACAAAGACCAGTCACATAATGCTGCACAAGGAAATGACCTCTTTGTATTCTGAGAATTGTGTGAAACACTAATACAATGTGTGGGAAGAATGCAGAGTTAATTAAATGTTAAAGCAGGTGGTACATATGCACACATTATGTTGGTGGACCACAGATTACCATGTTGACAGTAAGCTTTCTTTGCCTTACATTGGATTCACAACATAGCTTTAGTGACATAAGGGTGTAAGTCATTTGATTGTGTGTTACAGCAAACAGTAAGTGCTGATACATTAATTGAGAATCTTCTGGGGAAAAAGGAAACTTTCAAACCCAAAAATAGTCAACATGGATTGGTGCTGGGTACTGCACCTGGGAGCCAGGTAACATCGCCATATTACCGATACTTATTCCTAGAAACAAAATTGAATATATAGATTTTTTTATTATTATTATGCTGTAAGCTGATGATATTGTCTGTGTAAAACATCTCTGAGGGAATATCATACCTTGAGCAGGCAACCTTGCCTGTGTGCTCCACAGGATCTCTGATACGATTGTTTTGTTTCCCATTGTATTGTGGCGTCTAGACCCATTGCTAAGCATTGACTTTGTAAACAGCGGTTGTTGCTAAATAACGCTCTCAACATACACAGACGCAACAATAGAAGAACAGTGTTTTGTATGTGGTCTGCACATGTCTACAACAGTAAGGGGGTTATGTTTTCTGCGCGGTCAATGCCGAGGAGTTATCTTGAAGACAACTGGTGCTGAGTTGTGGAGTGTTTACCAGCAGGCAACGGCATAACCATGGTAGCTGAAGAATTTCCATTGTTAAGATCTGTTACGAGGAAACGTGTAGTGAAAACATTGCAGAGGAATAGCCATTATTGAGAGCTGTTACCAAGTAATGCAAGTAATGACTGGTGAAAACAGATGGAGAAGACTTAGCGTTGAGTGATTTTTAGTGTGAAAATCAGCGGTAGTGTTATAGTTATTTGTAGTTATAACCTGTAAGTGGTCGTTAAATCTATTCACCAATCCTAACCCCATCCGTAGTCACTCTAACTCATGACAGTGTGTTGAAAAAAGAATTTTCTGACTTTCTGATCATGATGTGATGATCTCTGTGAGTGTAATGATGCACCCTTAGAGATGTCTAAACATAGTACACACAGGTGTAACCGAAATTTGAATCTTTCAAATGATTTATTATTCAGTATATTTAATGAAGGTGTTTCAGTCGCAAGAGATTATATAAAGAAGATGGGAATTTTATGATCAATTATGATAAAAACATAAAAGGTGGCAGTCGTGGTTTAATGATGATTCTGTCCGGGAAGGATTTCAGAGATCTAGGAATCCAATTTTCCAGTTTAGATATAAGTTGGGTAACTGCCCTGAATGCAAATGAGATATTGACACAAACTGATCACCTGCTCCCTCTTTATATTTACATTTATAAACTTAGGCATTTGTCTAGCCAAATATAGCTCCATATACCGTATGTCCAAAAAAGTATCCGACTTTATTTTTTTCCACTGTAAGTAATGGCCAAAGGGTGGGGAAACTGAGTGTAGTGGTAGAAGGGACTTTCATGTGCATGCGTGATTTTTTGCTGACTCGCAACACCGCCGGATGCGTCTGTGGCTGCCAGATAGCGAAGTGGTGTAACACGTGTTCGTCGCATTCTTGTTTCGCTCAAGATGACAGAACGCTTGGAGCAGCGATACTGCATTAAGTTTTGTCAGAAACCTGGGGATACCCAAGCGGAAACAATTCGCAAAATTCATCAGGCTTTCGGCGATGATGCAATGGGGGTCACTCAAATTAAAGAGTGGTTCAACCGCTTTAAACATGGCCGTATGTCAGTGGACACTGAGCAGCATGCCAGGAGACTGTCAACGAGCCGAAATGCTGTCATCGAAAAAATGCGGACACTGATCATGGAGGACCGTCATTTGGCCGTCCGTGAAGTTGCTGATGAGGTTGGGATCAGCAGAGGTTCCGCAAACAATTTTAACTGAGGATTTGGGCATGCGAAGAGTGGTGGCAAAATTTGTGCCCAAGCTGCTTTTGCCAGAGCAGCAACAACCCCGCCTTGAGGTCGTGCAGGACATGCTGGAGTGCACCAAGAGGGATCCTGAGTTCCTGAAGACTGTGATCGCTGGTGACGAGTCGTGGGTATACAGGTATGACCCGGAAACCAAGGTCCAGGCATCACAATGGAAGCATTCAACATCCCCGAGGCCCAAAAGAGCACGACAGGTTCGGAGCAATGTGAAGGTGATACTGACTGTTTTTTTCGATTACCGGCGTGTTGTGCATCATGAGTACGCACCAATAGGCCAGACTGTTAATAAGGAGTACTACCAAGAAGTCCTCCGCCATCTTCGTGATGTAGTTTGGCACAAGAGACCGGAGCTGTGGGACGCACGCAACTGGCAGCTGCATCATAACAACACCCCAGCTCATTCATCGCACCTGATCCAGGGTTTCCTGGCCAAGCATGGCATTCCACAGGTTCGCCAGGCTCCCTACTCCCCTGACATGGCTCCTTGTGATTTCTGGCTGTTCCTGAGATTGAAGACACCGCTAAAAGGCTGCCGTTTTGACGGCCGCGAGGACATCATACAGAACGCGATGGCGCAGCTGTACGCCATTCCAAAAGAAGCCTTCCGGAATTGCTTCCAGTGATGGAAGGACCGCTGGGCTAAGTGTGTGGAGTCACAAGGGGCCTACTTTGAAGGTGATTAGGTATTGTAACCACCCAGATACAGAACTTTTTTTTTCCCATCGGATACTTTTTGGACAGAGTAGTATAACAGCGTTACACAGTTATTTTGCAGCTGATAATTTTAGAAGCAGTCATGATATTGACATATAACCTTCCTAAATGGGTTTGCTTCATGCAAAGATTTCGCAGACATTTGACAAAATCAGTTTTAGTTCTCTCCATACTTTTATACCTGGCTGTTCTCAACAGAATGCACAGTGGGCTTGGCCTACTCAGTTATCTAATATAAGAATTCGAGGATATGTATGGGCTAGTACAGGGCTGTAGCTACAGTTTCTTATCTTCCCGCAGTGCAGCTGCAACAACCACCCCATTACATCTTTCCATACTTCTTACTTTTCCTTGCTTGGAAGCCAAAGCACAGGTCTAAGTTCATGACTTAACCTATCCCAAGGCAGTATTCAATTCGCTTAGTGGTGGGTGGAGTCAAATTGGGTGTATTCGGCACGGCAGCCACTGATGGGCCTATTGTACCTGCCCCGGGTGATTATGATGATGGAGCATTTGGTGGAATGAAGATTGGCAGGGGAAACCGAAGTACTCGGAGGAATCCTGCCCCAGCGCCACTTTGTCCGCCACAAATCCCACTTGACCAGACCCAGGATCAAACTCGGGCTGCCGCGGTGGGAAGCCAGTGACTAACCGCTTGAGCTATGGCGTGGCCAAGGCACTATTATGATTGCAGTCTTGTGAAATGTGACATCTAGTATGGTAGATAGATGTTTTGAAGGACCATGCTGCTTCCATCTTCAAGGTTAATCCTAAAGATGGAAATAGCATGCTTGTCTGAAACATTTATACCTATTCACAGGATGATTCACTTGGAGGAGGCTTCAAATTAATAATTGTTTAAGTCTTGCAATAATTTATTAATGAAAATGAAACTTGGCAACACTGATCTGGTACCTGCTTGCTTGGTTTGCATCATTTGTTTTGGTCTGTGGTATCTCCATGCCGGCTGAACATTCATAAACCAGGGGTGTCATGTTGGCCCATGTCTCCAGGTGAAGGGAAACCAATTTCATTGTCACTTGTAACCAATTATCTTAACTTCTGCCAAAATACATACATGCCAGGTTTCCTTATTATCAGCAGATTATCATAATTTATAATTAATAATTCTCTGAGTGAATCTCTCTGTATTACACTACATAGTATCCCTTCTCAGAAGGCTTCTAACTATGTTAGAATAACTTAAACAACTTCAATATAACAGTCAAAAGCCAAGTAATCCCCCCTCAAAACCATTATGTTATGTGCAGGAGTTTCTTCAAACGGTAATCTCATTAATTCGTGTTTTTTTTTATGAAAATTGGTTGAAAAAGAACGTAAGAAAGGGCTCTAATCTTTTCTGTCCTTATGGGTTATTGTCGGATTAATAGCTTTAGACAGGCCACATCCTCTTCCTCCCTTATCCTGAGTCAATATTTCCTGTATTCAGTGCTGTATAACTGAAGCAGATCCTTTAGGGTCATTAAATAAATATTTAGAATTGTATAATTACATGAAATGATGACCTTTTTCTTCTTTTACAGCATGTGTTGGGTAATGTTGGTGTCCCAGTACAGGGTCTGGGTCTAGCCCCTTCATATCTTGACTCATCTGTAAAGCCTGCTGTGATTTATCCTGGACCCTCTACAACATCTGTGTCACCCGGGCCATCTTCAGCCATGAGTATGATGGGAGGCTATGTCATGTCTGTGTCACCTGAATCGTTTGCTCATGTCCCACTATCATCAACCAATAAGGGCTATGCTGCTGTGTCTCAAATGAATACCCAGCTCGATGTTAATGTACCATCACAGGCGCAGTTTTCATTCAGTTTACCAACATGGGTGACACCTTCCTCACAACTTCTTCCCCAGCTTTATCGACAAGTGTGGAAACTGGTGGAACAAGACAATGGACTAGTTGATACAACACGTATCTTTCCGCTTCTTCTCACTAGCGGGTTGCCAACCGATGTACTTGGCTTCATATGGGGGCTGGCAAATCATAAGGTAGCAGGGCAGCTAACTGAGCAAGAATTATACATTGTGCTGGCCCTTGTTGCACTTGCACAGGTTAGTGCACCATTTCCATAATACTCACTCACTCACTCACTCATGGAGCTGCCAATTGTGCATCTACTCAAGAATTTCCCAGCATTTTATGGAACCCAAAGGTTCATTACCGTGCTTACAAGAGCCCTCCACAAGTCCATATCCTGAACCAGATCAATCCAATCCATACCATCCCATCCTATCTCTCTAAGATCAACTTTAATGTTGTCCACCCACCCACATCTTGGCCTTCCCAGTGATCTCCTTCCTTCCAGGTTTCCCACCAATATTCTATATGCATTCCTTCTCTCCCCCATTCGTGTTATGTGCCCCTCCCATCTCCTCCTCCTTGACTTGATCATTCTAACTATACTTGGAGAAGTGTACAAGTTATGAAGCTCCTCATTATGCAGTTATCTCCAACCTTTCATCACTTCATCTCTCTTCAGTCCAGATATTCTCCTCTTCACCCTGTTCTCAAATACCCTCAGCCTGTGTTTCTCCCTTAAAGTCAGAGACCAAGTTTCACACCCATACAGAACGACAGGCAAAATTATAGTTTTGTATATTCTAATTTTGATGTTTTTAGACAGCAGACGAGAAGCTGAGAGGTTCTGGACTGACTGGTAGCAAGCATTACCCGAGTTCAATTGCCTCTTAAGTTCCTCCTCAATCAGGTTTTGATTTGTTATTGTCGTTCCCAAATATCTGAACTGTGCCACATTTTCAAAACATCTGTTACCTATCTTTATGTCATTATTTTGCCCTGCATATTGGTGACGAGGTATGAATGAATGAATGAATGAATGAATGTATGAATGTGTAAAGGGTGGGCCTTCTCGGCCCTTGCACTGTGACCCACAGTTATCTATTCTGCTTTGGTGATGAGGTAGCAACGTATACTTAGTTTTCTCTATGTTCACTTCTAGACCAACCTCCTTGCTAGCATCAGTTAAAGTTTGTGTGTTTCTCCTTATGGTATTTATATTTTCACCCAGTAGATTCACATCATCGGCATAGACCAACAGCTGACATGTCCCATTTAATTTCAGTCCCACCTGGTTTTCTTGGACCTTCCTAACGGCATATTCCAAAGCAAAGTTGAAAAGCAGTGGCAATAAAGCATCTCCTTGTTTTAGACCACTCTGGATAGGGAAGTTATCAGACAAATGTTTACCTGTATGGACTTCTCCATACATTTCATTTAAACACATTTTAATCAGCCTGACTAGTTTCATGGATATCCCAAACTCTATCAGAATATTGTACAATACTTCCCTCCTAACTGAATCATAGGCTTTCTTGAAGTCTATGAATAGCTGATGTACTGTCTCAATATACTCCCATCTTTTCTTCAGTATCTGATGAATGCGAAAGATCTGATCAGGAGTTGATCTGTTATGTCGAAACCGACACTGATGATCCCCAGTAATTTCATCTATGTATGGACTTAACCTTGAGAGAAGAATATTGGATAAACTTTTGTATGAAGTTGATAGCAGTGATATCCCCTGATAGTTACTACCGTCAGTTTTATCACCCTTCTTGTGAACTGGTACATAGACTCCTTCCACTGATCAGGCAATTTTTCCATATGCCAAATAAATGTAATTAGCTTACAGATCTTAGAACATAATATTTCACCTCCTGCTTGAATAAGTTCTGCTGGAATTTGATCACTACCTGGTGATTTATACCGTTTTAACTCTGCGGTATCACTTTCAACCTCAAAAGGGCTAGGATCAGGTACTAATGTATTTCTGTCTACCTAACATCACTGACCCTATGTACATTCAATAACCGAGAGAAATAGTTCTTCCACCTATTCAAAATGTTGTGGGAATCTGCAAGCAGATCACCATTCTCATCCTTCACAAAGTTACTACTAGGTTGATAACCCATCTTAAAGTCATTTATTCCTCTATACACATCTCTAATGTTCTTGTTCTTACTGTTCATTGCAAGCTCATCAATTTTGTCTTTCAGATATTCCCTCTTTTTATTCCTGAAATGCCTACTGGTTTTACATCTTATATTGTTCAGATTATCCCCATTTAGTTCGCTTGAATCCTGTAACCGCTGCAATTTGGCTGTTTCCTTTAGTCTAGTAATTCTGAGCATCTTTCATCGAACCATGGCTTATTCTTCTTCAGTTCATAATAACCTAGACTCTTCTTGATGGAAATTTTGATATTCTCTCTGATAGTTTCCCAAGCTTTATTAACATCCACCTCAGTGTCTTAAGTTTTCCAAAGCTGCAGATCTATTTGAGATTTCAACACGATACTGCTCCTTACCCTCTATCTCATTCAATTTCTTGAGATCGAACCTCTCCGTATGAACTCTGTATGTTGTTTGCTTACTCACTGCCAGTCTTTCCCTAACCTTCGCCACCACCAGGTAGTGGTCAGTATCACAATCTGATGCCCTAAATGATCGGACATCAAGTATACTTGAATGCCAGCTCCTATCTATCATAATATGGCCAGTTTGATTGTGTGTCTTCCCATAAGGAGATGTCCAAGTAAATTTGTGGATGTTACGATGTGGGAACATTGTACTTTTGACAGTAAGATTTTTTGATGTGGCAAAGTTTACTACTCCGACTCCATTATCATTACTAATTTCATGCAAACTCATTCCCAATCGTTGGTTTTAAACTGTCTTCCCTCCCTACTTTAGCACTGAAATCTCCTAACAAAATTTTCTTATGGTACTTCAGGAATTTATCAAATACGCATTCTAGTTCATTGCAGAGCTTGGCCTTTATATCATCAGTTTTATCTCCTGTTGGGGCATGAACAATAAGAACAGTATCACATCAGTGACCTCTTAGTATTATGTATGACTTCCTATCACTAATGAACTCTACCCTCTTAACTGCTGATATGATTCACTTATGTACGAAGAAACCTGCATCTAATTCATGATTTCGTTCCCCTTTCCACAGAAAAATGTATATTCGCCTGCTGGTGCAATGCCACCTCTATTCCATCTTGCCTCCTGTACTCCCGCTAAATCTAACTTATATTTTAAGATTTCTTCTGCCACTGCCCTGAGCGAACCTGCCCTATACATACTCCTAACATTCCCAGTGCCAAGTCTCATGTCCATTTTCTTTAGCTTAGGTCCTTTATCCAGAGGATCTGTCCAGGTCCAAGGCTTTGTGTTCATTTTCATAACAAAGTAATTTTTTACGGTGAGGAGTTGTTAGCCCCATGCCCCACCCCCAAGCTGCAGAACCACCCCTTATCGTCTGTCTGCAACTGCTTATTCAATATATTTGCACCCTCCATACCTGGTGGGCATCTCTTCCATCCACAACCTGAGGATGCACCATGACATGGTGACAAGGGACGCACCTAACATGGATTGAAGTAAAAATTAATAATAAATCCATATATAATACATGTACAGTGGAATGCCTATTTAATATTCCTTGGTTTAAGGTTTTCCTTCATTTAGTGTTCACATTCAGTGATCCTAAGTCAGTAACCTCTGTGTTAAATTGCCTCATTTAAGATTTTCCCCGATTATGTATTCAATTTCACCGCTTCTGCAAAAAGATCTTCAATGAGTATTTCACTGTATAGTGGACTGGACTGAGAATGCTGAATGTCATAAGTCACAAAACATGATGTGAAATATCATAATATCTGTTTTATTTTTCTTTATTTAATATATTATACAGGGTGATTCACTCAGAGGAGGCCCAAAATTAATAATTATAAATCATACAATAATTTGCTGATGAAGATGAAAGTTTTCAGGTATGTGTCTTTGTAGGTATAGATATAATTGGGTTAAAGAAGATGCTGAAATTGGTTTCCCTCCATCTGGAGGCACTGGGACAAAACACTCCATGTTTGTGAATTTTGCAGCTAGCATGTCAGGAGATATCACAGACTGAAGGAAATGGTGTGAACCAGGTGGGCAGTCACTGGCTGTCTATTGCCAGGTACACACTATTCCCAAGTTTCATTTTCATCTGTAAATTATTGCATGATGTACCATTTATTAACACTTTGCAGACTGGCAATTTAAATATTTAAATCAGCCTGGGGACTGGCATTTTTAAACCTACTACCCTAACTTGTGCACTGTTCACTTTAAAAATTAATATAAAATCTCCTAATTAATTTTATGAACTAAAATTTTTGGAGAACACTTACCAATGCTTCTAGAAGTGCATGAGAGTGTGATATTTCTGGAAACATTCCCCTTCGTGAAGTGGCATTACACAGAATTTGCAATGTAGACAATCATACTCCTTTTTTTATGAACAGTGCAAACACAACATTGCCTAGAAGAATGCTTCCCCTTGGAATGTTCACTTTTCACAGTTTTCACGAGGGTATGTTTCCGCATATCACCCGAGAGTCGCCCAGGGGTGTCCACGTGAGGATTGCGTGGGGTGGGAGTTGATGGGCCCGGTCGCACTAAGTCTGTGCCTGACTCTGGTTCTGCCACCACCATCTGGTCTGTAGCCCAGGCCTTTGCCACATTCATCAGAAATGCTTTGTATTTCAATTTCAAATCAGGGTTTAGATTTTTGTAAACCAAAAATGAATTGAAAATGTCACAATTTATAAGCCACAAGGCAATTTTCTTTGTCCACTTTATTATTTTCCTAGGAAGAGAATAATAGGCCAAGTATTGATTGGCTCTGTCAGCTCCCTTCATGAATATATTATACTCAGAAATACAAATAGGCTTCTTTACTTGTCCATGTCTCCTTTGAACATCAACCATGCTCGAATTGTAAATTGTGGAAATCATATTCACAACATGAGTATCCTTATCTCCAAAAAACAGTTCTGCTACTTCAGACACTTGCGTTGGGTCCGATGGAATTTGTTTCACCACTGGATTTCCAATAAACTGTCCCAAAGTAGGCGTTTTGTCTACTTTTCCCCATGTGGCTGTCCCCACAATTTTACTACCTGCACTTTCCTCCGAGCTACTTTCACTTTTAATGTCTGTGGCCACAATTGTTTGTTGTCCCCTGTCACTGCCACTGTCTAAATCACTATCACTACACGTCTCAGAAGGAACGTCAGATAGCGTCGGAGAACAAGTCAGATATTTCGCTTGGTTTTCAACCGCTTCTGTCCTTGACTCATTGCACTACTGACTTCCTGCCTGGTACATAAGAGCTTGAAGGGTCAAAGATCATTTTCCTTTGGAGGGGGAACCCAAACAGCGAGATCAAGTTACTGCCTACTAACCAAACATTCCAGAATAATATTATGCAGTAGTCATTTCATTTGGCTGGCTCCAGAGAAAGGTATAGTGTGTTACAATCTAACATGTCCTAAAATCATAATAATATGCCACTGATCCGCCACGTTTAAAAGCGCGGGCATAAAAATATGCCGTCGGTCTGCCAAGTGTTAATTCAGGGTGACATCTGAATGAACCATTCTGTACTAATACATGTTGTATCTATATATGTTACAGAATGGGTGCACATTTAACAATCTTGGCGTTTTGAATCTCATTCCACAACCGCCAGTTCCGAGCCTGAATGTTGCAGATTTTCAGTCTGTAGCATCAACACCCAGCAAAAATACAGAAGTGGCTGTTACTTTGAATCCTGGGAAGATGAAGAGGGAGGAGTTGAATCTCCATTTGTCTCGTTCCAGTACGTTATCCATACCTACACTGTCTCCTGCAGGTGATGATGCAGGATTTGATGAATTTACAGATTTTCAGAGTGCAGTGTTACCAGTGACACAAACAACAGCAGCAGCAGTAACAACAACGACAGCAACAGCAGTGATGACGACAATAACAACAACAACAACAGCAAGTATAAAGGAACAAGTTTTAATAAGCAAACCACCTGAGAATCAAAGTAACACTGTTGCCATTTTAGGTTCAGAGGTGGGCACAGCTCAGAAATGCCCCAGTGTGATGGTTATAGGCAGTATTGGTCATGGGCGTGGAATTGGAAGTAGACTTGCCAATCACTCATTAGGCACTCCAAAACAGAAGAAAACTAAACATCACCACCATCACCATCATCGTAGTCACCCGCAAGTGGCGGCTTCATTGGATGAAGATTTTTCAGAGTTTCAGCAGGCCAAAAATCCAGGTAGCTCTGGAGATGGAACTGCAGATGGTATTTTTTCTAAATGTATGACGAAAACACTGCAAGGGAAGACATACTTGTTAAAAGAAAGTGCTATTCGGGCAGAGATGAAGTTAGAGAGCAGCCAGCAGACTGCAGGAACTGTGGAGGATGGTAGATTGACATCTTTTGAAGGAATCACGTCTAATTTCGAGCCCACCATTGAGAGGAAAAGTACAAGTTTATCTTCAGAAAAATCAAAGTCTGATGGAGACAAAGAAGACCAGAATGTTGCACTGGGGGTACATAATATGGAATCAGGGCCGAGAAGTAATATTTCAGTATCAGGTCTACAGGAATCAAAAAGGGAAGGCGTAAATTTGATGTCCATAGAAGAGGATAAATACAGTGCACTTAGAGTTCTGTCATTAATTGGTCAGGATACCAGTCATGATAAGACAGAGTTGTGTGTAAGCCCAGAACAGTCACCTGCAAGTGATGATTTTGGTGACTTCCTGTCTGCAGAGCCAGCACAATTAGTGGAGGATTCATTTGCTGACATAGCTGCAAGGGAAAAGGTTCTAAGTAAGAATGTTTCAGATCTCAGTGCTGTGGGTTTATGGAAGGCAGTAGAGACACCTCAAACTGCAGAGTTTCAAGTTGATGACTGGGGAGAATATAAAGATGCTCTGACATGTAATACCAGTTCATACTTAGACCAGACCTTTGATATGACTGGTGAAAATAAAAATAAATTGGGTGATACAACAAGCAAAATTAAAACAGAGACAGACATTTCAGCTGCATTCATGGATTTATATCTGGGTAATGAAAGTAGTGATGTCTGGGATCTGAAGGACAGTATTGGCATGGCCGGGGATGAAAAGGAGAAGACTTCAGACTTCCTAAGTTTAGCAGAGCCATCACTGGATTTAAATACTGACAGTTCTTGGGATTTTAAATTGAAGGATGATGGTGATAGTCATGATGATACAGCTTTAAATGGTTCTGAGAGGGCAGGAGAGAGCAGTAATTTTCAGGGATTTCTAGGTAAAATATATGATGACAGTGCTAAAAATGAGCAATATTCTTTAAAGGCAGATACGCTTTGCCCCAGTCCTGATGATCAGTTACATGGTGGCAGAAGTGACAATTCTGATATTGATATTCAGACTCATGGTAGTAATGATGATTTTGGTGAATTTGTTGGACCAAACACATGGCCAGATGAGCAGAAGTACAGTGTTATGACTAAGGATAGCCTGTTCGATGGTCACTTAGGACAAGGGCTGTATAGCGACAGCCAGTCAGTAAGCAGTCTAGAGTTACCACCATTAACACTTAGTCGTCATGGCTCTGTACCAAGCCTTGATCTGAAAATATTCCCCAGCACAGCTGACAAGAGTGATGGGAGTGGTGGCAGCCATCATTGGGACATGTCCCCACAGGTGTGTATATGTCACTTGCCAAAAAGAGCTGTTAATATTGTGGGACTGTAATTGACTTCCATTGTATAGAGTGATTCACTTGGAGGAGGTACCAAATTAATAATCACATAGTAATTTACCACTGATAACCAATGAAAACAAACCTTGGCAAGTACATATCTTGGTGTATATGGAGATAATTGGGTCAAAGAAGGTGATCAAATAGGTTTCCCTCTGCCTGAGATACGGGCTGACATGACACTCCATCTTCATGAATGTTGTAGCTAGCATGGCAGAAGGGGATCACAGAAATTGCGTGTACTCGGCAGACAGGCACCAGCTCAGTATTACAAAGCACAGTGTTGCCAACTGTTATTTTCATTTGTACATTATTGTGTGATTTATAATTATCAATTTGGGGTCTCCTTCAAGTAACTTTGCTTATTAAGAGTGCTGTCTTGTGGGATGCAGTATGGTAGAATTTCACCCATGTTTTAGAGGAACATGCTGTCTCCATCTTCAGGATTAAGAATAAACCGAGGAAGCAGCAGGGAAAGCAGGCCACACCTGGAAAACCTGGTTCAGATATAGGCCTGTAATGGATCCCAGAGGGAACCAGTAGGGCAAGGAGAAGTGTAGCAAGTGTTGACACTGTAAGAGCAGTGTGAGCCACCAAAACATTGGTGAACTTCTGCTCAACTACACAAGATATTGCCCTATGTGGTTTCCACTGTGAGAACCCCAGATCCAACATCCATGTTTGAGGACTATCAAGAAATAAATGTTCTCTCCCAAGATTTACCTTTGAGATGACCATCATGTCTAAAGACTCTGAGCCTCTCTTAGGAGGAATAACATATTGGTTGCTCTTTTTTCTGAGTAAAGAATTGGTTTTCAGTGTATATTCAGAGCTTGAGTACTCCAGCTAAATTACTTTTTTTTGTGTACAGGGTTATTCAAAAAGAATGAACTGACTTTATTATGCAATATTTTATTAAAGGAAAGTAATACAAAACTCCAGCCAAGTCACAAGTATTCTACTCACAATCAGCTTTTATTTCCTGTCTTACAAGTTTTCAATGTGCCCACCACCTGCAGCACGGGCAACATGAATGCGATAAGAGAATTCCTCCCAGGCGCGTATCAGCATATAACGATGCACTGAGTTAATCGCTGTTGCTATTCAATGTTTGAGGTCATCGAGATTAGTGGGTAGCGGTGGAACATAAACGTGATTTTTACATATCCCCACAAGAAGAAATCACACACGGTGAGGTCTGGGGATCTCACAGGCCAAGCACAAAGAGCAAGGTCTTGGGCCCCCTTCCGACCAATCCATCGCTGGGACACTTTTTCATTTAAAAAAGCTCGGACCATCAGGTGCCAATGGGGCGGTGCTCCATCTTGTTGAAAAATGAAGTCATGCGAATCTGCTTGCAGTGAAGTGAAGAGCCAGTTTTGGAGCATATTGAGATAGGTTTGTCCTGTAACGGTGTTTCCTTCAAAGAAAAAGGGACCATAAATCTTGTCCTGAGATACAGCACAGAAGACGTTCACCTTAGGGGAATCTCTTTCGTGCTCAACTGTTTCATGTGGGTGCTCTGTTCCCCAAATAAGCACATTGTGACGATTGACTGTACCACTCAAGTGAAAAGTCGCTTCATCACTAAAAATTAAACGTGAAATAAAGGTTTTGTCTTCCATCATCTCCAGCATGGAATCGCAAAATTCCATCCGCTTCCTTTTGTCGTCATTGGGAAGTGCCTCAAAGAGCTGCAGTCTGTATGGTTTCAAATGTAGACGTACTGTTAGCACATGCCAGACAGTGGATTGAGGGATCACAAGCTCATGGCTAGCTCGATTTGTTGACTTCTGCGGGCTCCTCTCAAACACAGCACAGATTCTCGCCACTTGTTCGTCTGAGACTCGTGGTCGTCCTGGACCTTTTCCTTTACATAGACACGCACTCTCTTTAAACTGTCGAAACCACCGTTGAATGTTCTTAGGACAGGGCGGATTAATGCCGAATCACCTTTGAAAAAAACGCTGCACCATGACAACCGAATTTGTTTTCGCGAACTCGAGAACATAGAATGCCTTTTTCTGAGGATTCGCCATTCCGAGGGTAAATGAACAACTGAACGTTGCCAGAAGAATGATGCGACTTCAGCACCCCTGTGGCAGCCATTCACAACTTAGATAACTTCTCTTTCAAATGGTCACTGACTCATTCCATGACGATGCTTGAGAACTGAAGCAATGCATCATGAAATCGGTTCATTCTTTTTGAATAACCCTGCATATTTATTAAGGGAAGTGGATCTGTAACTGAAATAAATCTGATCACACTACCATCATTATCTCAAGATAGGCTATAGAGATAATATCTACATACACAGACCACTTAACATAACTACTCTAGCAGTGTGAAAAAACCTACAGCCACTGGTGCATACATGACAAAACTGGTGACACTACATCAACATCCTTACAAACTGCACAAATTACTCCCATGATACCCATGCCACAAAGGGAATGGTGCACATATAAATCCCAAATGAGAAATAGTCAAGCAGATACATTTTAAACAGATGGGCGATGGCCACAATGGGAAACATAAGATGTTAATTGATTTTAATTAAGGTTAATTTATTTTAATTAGGAAATATCACGTTCACGTGCGATACATAATTTTGACATACAATGAAACAATTTTAATAAGATAGATAACACCTTACAATAGCTATATACATCTGAAACATGTAGTGAGGAACAAGGATGACTAGATAATAAGTTGCACTTATGATGGAAGTATATGCTTACATAAGTATACTTAAATTCAAACCATCTGTAATGTTGCCCTAACTCTACCTAAAGTTCATATTACTTAATTTATATTAGTAGTGTCAGAGTGTTTAAGTAGCTGAATCTGGAATAGTTATATGTTTAAAGAGGTTTGCCTACTGCTACTTATTTCTTAGTGGGAAAAGTCTCTAATATCAAAATCTTGGGTTTTCTAAACTGTGCAGATGGATTAATTCTTTTGTCTTAAATGAGTACAATTTAATCTGGTTGTTGTTCACCAGGTTCATTGCTGCAAAAGGCCAGAACATTTTGGCCAGTAGTGTTACGACCAGCACTGACATATTGATATCTAATTAGGTGCTATTCTATGATAATGAGGTCTTGGGTTCACATCTTGACCCAGAGACAAGGCATTGCAGTCTGAGGTATTTCACAGTTTTCGTCTGTGCAGGTAAATGCTGCAATAATGTAGAAAATCAGACCATAACTGCTGCCTGTCATCTTTCCAATTCATTGTTCACTAGTCGTCATATCGTTTGGTCCTATATAATATGAACTGTTAAAAATGTTGTTAAATAATCGAAGAATGATTAAATATTGTCACGTGTTTTGTGTTTATAATGCGACAAATAACTTCATGCCAGTTTGGATCTAGCGAATTTATTGCACACTTGCTCTTATGCTTACACAGTTCACAATTTCACAATTACTATGCCTGCTGTAGTCACTTCCATTCACTTCACATGACTCAATAATAGCTCGTAGCTGCTGGACTTCAACTCATACTGAATACTGCTCTTAACACTAGTAAGTCTCTCTCTGGTTCTACACTAACGGATACTCATCATTATGTAGCTTCCACATCGACAACACAGAAAGCAGTTACGTGATAGCTACCACTGTTGCATGACATCGTGTTTACAGATTGTCTAGCAATAGTCTCTGCACAGACTCCCCTGTTGCGTGACATTACAGCCTAGTGAGGAGGGGTGTTTACCGAGCGTTGCTTAGTTAAGGGATGAATGGGGTATGTGATGTCATTTGCACTTCCTGTTGCGCAAGTCAAGCGTTCACAGAGTTGTCACCTAGCAACGCGATGATACAATCTACAACTCTCCCGTTGCACGTATGTCCCGATGCCTCTGTGGTTCTACAGTTTCTGCATAGAGCCAATACACCACAATATGTATGAAGGAATTTGTGGGGTTAGTTGCTTTATGTGATGATGACTTAGTGTCTGTATCACATTTCAGGGGATTGATCATCAATTGAGTGAGTGGCAACGATGCCTACAAAGCTGCCTAACTCTGCTTCAATCAGCTGTCGAAATATTCAATGGCACATCTTGTGGAGATGTGTTGGATGAAGTGATTGGCTCAACGGAGGGAAAAGCATACCTACAGAGTAAAACAAATTGCTATATTGAAATATGTGGCTCTGAATTTGATTTTCAGTTATGCATGTATTTTTGGTACATTCCCAATAAAAAGTTGCAAAAATGTGCTTATTAATTTTGCTATATATGCCTCTAGATCCATCTGCATATAAGAACAAGAACTACTAAATAGATTTTTATGAAATTCAGTATTTTGAAATTATACAGAAATTTGTTAGGGCATTCTGATTTTGGTTAAAATTGGACAACAGTAACAAACACTTTACACAAAGACCTGCATGTTCTTCTGAGCTCATCTTGAGCGTAACTTACAAAATATCAGACTGAAAGAAATGTTTCAGACAGAAGTTCTACTGAAAAATGAAACAGATCCTGTTTCTGTCACATTCTTCTCTGTTTGGAATACTAGCAGATAGAGGAAGTCCAGAAACCCAATAATGCTACATTTCTTTTTCTTTCAGACTTGCTGGAAGTGGCTGGTGTAAGCCACAGAGTAGAATGCTCATACAAACAGTTAGGGAACAGTGGCGAGTACAAGCAGCTGGACTCGCTCTTGGCAGATATTCACAGCACTTGGTCTTCTCTGGAGTCATATTATGTGAAGGCAGATATATCTGTAAGCAATGTAGGGAGAATTTCTGTGGGCAGTGGATGATACATTGTTAAATGTCATAAAAGATGGCATTTGAAATATTGGAACACCTTTTCAAGTGAGATGAGAACTGTGCAAGTAATTATTTGTTTTATATCTGAACTACTGACATGCGGGGTGTGAAGCCAGCAACTCACCTCCATCTAGAGCCAAGATCCACAATACATCTTCATGATGTACTTAATTAAGCATTGAGGGAGGACTGACATGTGTAAACACACTGTGATTGTTGGCAAGCATGTTGCTGCTTAATATTCTAGAGTTTCTGCATTTAAATGTGGACCTAGGTACCCTAACAAGTTTTTTGGGGTTTTCCTGACTTGCATGAGGCAAACGCCAGACTACTTCCTTAGATTAGATCATAACTGCATCCTTACACATCCTGTCAAATTCGTTATTCACACACCCTAGTGCTGGATGTAAGCTACACCTTAGAGCTCCCTACTGTGGAGAGCCTCCAGGTACTGAGGGAAAACTCCTCCTTGAGACAGAAACAGTGTTCTCTTGTAAAACTAACAAGCGCAATGGCTGTGTGGCATGTCGAGTGGAACAGTGAATGCATCAGACACAGAAGATTTGCAAGAGCCAAGAAGATATTGAATATTATTTCTTGTTTTAATTTTGCATATCTGCAGTTCCGCATACATGAACATTTCATTCTTGTCCACATATATTAACATGTAAACTAAAAATTTTTAGTAATTTAGTTGATATTCTTTGTTTGACACAACATTTTGTTAGGGAAATATTTTTTTTTCTTTTTCTTTGGTTCTATGTTGAAAAAGCTGCCCATATAATTATTCAAACAAATACCTTTAACCCTTCACTGCTGGCAGGCATTTATATTCCTATTCAACTCCTATGCTGGAGGATATTTAAATATTTAAATTGGAGAGTGCAACATTTCACTTAAAGTGTAATAATTTGGGAAAAACTGAAGTTTTGTTTTTCAGATTTTCAGACAATGTTCAGAAGAGTATCTGGAATCGGAGTTTTTCTGGTCCTTTAAAAGTGCTGCTATTTTCATTGTCAGCGAAATGCAAATATTTACATATTAACTTTAATCTGTCTCATGTTATAATGTCTCTAAATCCCAGTGTGGAAATTACTCTTTTTGTGGTAAAATATGACCAAAGAGTAGGTTTCTGTATAATGCCCATGAGCATGAACAAACCCAACACAACATAAATCTCTCCCTCTGTCACAGGTTTCCATGCCCTAGCATGTGACCTGACTGATAGTTCACGTCCACATAGGAACTGCTCCGCATATCTGTTTCGTTTCTCTGACTGTGGTGTCAATAAGTTCTTTGTTGAAAAACAACTCATTAACTTCCACAATTTCCGTGACATGTTTCGCAGGACCTTGAGGTACAACACTGCCCATGAAATTCTCCCAAACGAAGTCTTGATTGGCACTGTCATCATCATCACTGCCCTCATTTCTCACAGCATCAAGCAAGGCACAATCATCTAACTCATTTTCAGTGTCAAAATCTGAATGTGACAAACTTTGTTCAGAATCGCTCTGAAGCAGACATTCAGACTCGTCCTCACTCAGCACAGCTGAACGTTTCTTGCTTGTGTTAGCTATCACTGCTACACGCAAACTGCATGATGCTATTTATGAAACAAAGGGGAATGTACAAAAGCATTCACTTTTTCATATCCAACATAGCAAACTTCTTTTAAAGTCAACATCACGTATCCTACTGGTCGTAAGTTCTGCACGTGGTTTCTCAGTTTCTCGTGGTTACAAATTCCACTCAAGAAGCAGCACTTGTCAGATTCTGCTTGAAGAGAATCAACATGCACAGAGAACACACAATATCGATCTAGCATATTTAGTTCATAACTATTCCACAAGGTGGATATAGGTTTGTACGGTAACTTCTTCAAAGAAGTCAAATGAAATACAAATACCGTGGGAAGTTCAAAGTGGGACAACAAATATAAAAAATGATAGCCAGAAATTTCCTCTTTAATTTCATACCAAAAGAATTGCTTTACATGAAAAACAGCAACGGTTCAAAATGAGCTGAAACATAGCACTGCACTAAGCACGCAGCAGTGGTTCTCAAACTTTTTACCTCTGAGCCCCACCCCCCACCCTGACAAGAGAAAATACTCTCAGGCCCCCAGCCTGTTTTTTTTTTATCAGAATAGAAGTCATGGTATGTTTGACGTTTTATTCAGTTTATTTTGTGCTTTCTACATACTATTTAGCAGTTTTTTACTCAAAATTAAAGTATCACAATATTAGGCCTACAATAAAAATTAGTTTTAACACTTGCAATTAATCAAAATCTGTATTTAAATGAAACAATATTTAACTAACAAGTATTTAATTTTTTCTGCAAAGAAAATCAAACATTTAAATGTCAAAGTTCAGTGTGATGGATGGGCCTGCTTTTGAGAACAAAGTCTGTCAAAACGTGGTGTAATATCAGAAATGGCCACTCTGACTTCTTTAGCAGTATTTAGCCTTGACGATTCTTTGACTTTATAGCTGCCAAAGCAGAAAAGCCTGTCTCGCATAAGTAAGTTGTTGCAAAAGGAATCGGTATCTTCAGTGCCTTTTGGTACAAAGTTAGGAATTCCGTGCCAATATGTATCCAGAACTCCAACAAAGACAATTCCTTAAATTTACTTTTTAATGAAGTATCGCTAGTGAGATCGATGAGTTGTTCTTGCTCATTTACCTTCAGAGATGATGGCCCTGGAGCATTTTCGAATGGATTTTTAATCCAATTAAATTCTTCAGAATTATTGCAAAAGTATTTCTCGAAACTAACTTTCAATATTATGAGATTATCAGCGTGTTGTACCATTGACACCAGAGTAGGGAACATGTCTAGTGTGTCACTTTCCATACTGTTTCTCCAGAGCTCTAATTTTCTCATGAATGCCTTCACCTTGTCATTCCAAGAAAGTACAGTTGCCTCATTCCCTTGAAGTGAAGTGTTGAGGATATTTAGTTTCTCAAATATATCTGTGAGGTAAGCCATTTTCAATAAAAAGAAATCCTTGTTGCTGAAACTGTCTGCCAGTGAGTTATTTTCCCCATTTAAAAAACAGAACACCTCATGCCTCAGCTTAAACATTCTCTTTAATTCCTTTTCCTCTTGAAAGCCATCGAGCATGACTAAAAAACAACAGAGCAGTGTGTTTGGCACCCATTTCCCTACACAGAATTTTAAAAAGTCTAGACTTCAGAGGATTTCAGAGGATGCGGCTGCTGCTGAACTATCAACGCTGTCTCTGGCATACGCGTTTTATAATTGCCGGTTAAGTGAATAATTATTAGTTATTTTGAAATTCATGATAATTAAAGCCTGTACTCATCAAAAGTTTTTCTATATGTATTTTTATTTGTTGTTACTTTTCTAATTGATTTAGGACAGTTTTAATTTTTATCTGTAGGAAAGTATGCTGCGCCCCCCTTTCAAGCCCTTCGCCCCCCCCCCCGGGGGTCGCGCCCCATAGTTTGAGAACCACTGGCATACAGGGTACGGAGCCCAGCGGCATGTGACAGAAACTGCTGGCATGCAGTGCACCGAGCCCGGCACTGAAGAGTTAATGTCCATTAATCATTCTTTCTGCCTGCTACATGCATTGGCCTGGCCATTATCATAACTTAGGGCCTTGCAAATCTGAATCCAGCACTGATGCATTCTGTCATTTGACACTGTAATCTAAGTCACTGAAAGTACTAAATATACCGAGCATGAAGTTACTATCTGCCAACTGAATAAGCTGCTCATGAACAATCAAAGACAGCTTTGTGTTGTGTTACTGAATGTATCAGCTCACTGGTCAGTAGTTACTGTACTCTGTTGAATCTTTACAGGTTCACCTGGAAATGGATTTGCCTGTGGGGTCAGGAAATGGAAGCAGTTCAGTTTGTGACCCAACTGTGTGCTGTGGTGTTTGTTTGACGGATGTCAATAGTGGTGCAAGGACAGACAGCAGTAGAAATACTAGTCAGTTGGAGTATGGTGGCCATATTTATCATTCGGTGTGTGCAAATCTTTGGGTCAACTGTGTAGACTCCAGTCTGCCAGCTTTAGCCACAGGGAGCAGCAGTTTTCTATGAAAAAGTATGCAATTAAGTCTGTGACAGAATTTTTTGATGAACTATTCAGTTTTATTTAACACTACAATTATTTGTGCATGAACTGTTACATATATTATAACTGAAGGACTGACACTTCGGAGAGAGATTGTATGTGTATTATTTTTTAAAATTTGAGATTACAAAATAATGCATGCAGCCATATAGGGAAATAGGAAGGGAAAATACATCCTACTTTTTAAGTTTCAAGGTGTTCACAGGGGTGATAGTTCAGATTGTGGTTGTTTGGGTTGTGACATCATGCAGTCTTGTATGAGGATGCCAGTTCAGATTGTGGTTGTTTGGGTTGTGATGTCATGCAGTCTTGTATGAGGATGCCAGTTCAGATTGTGGTTGTTTGGGTTGTGACGTCATGCAGTCTTGTATGAGGATGCCAGTTCAGATTGTGGTTGTTTGGGTTGTGACGTCATGCAGTCTTGTATGAGGATGCCAGTTCAGATTGTGGTTGTTTGGGTTGTGACGTCATGCAGTCTTGTATGAGGATGCCAGTTCAGATTGTGGTTGTTTGGGTTGTGACGTCATGCAGTCTTGTATGAGGATGCCAGTTCAGATTGTGGTTGTTTGGGTTGTGATGTCATGCAGTCTTGTATGAGGATGCCAGTGTTTCCAAAGAATATGCTGCCCCTTAACCTTCTGAGGTTTGGCTTGGACAGGAAACTGTGTAACCTGGTGACAGGGTTGTTGACAGCAGTTGAAGATTAAGATGGCACCTACATGTTTTCGGGCCTGTCAGAAAGTGCCATGTGCAGGAAGCATTGACAGGAGGAGAACCCCTTCCACCATGTTCATTTACAGTGCCTAGCTTTGTCTAGATATAGACTAGGTGTTTGAATCTGCATGATTAGATCTGATAGGTAGGAGGGCCTCCATCTAAAAGTTCTGGTTCTAACATTATAGTCAGGACTCTCTGAAAAGCCTTAACAGGCCCCATGAGGGGCACACAGTGGGTCCAGTTAGTGCTTTGGGTGAACAATCCCCCCCCCATGTCAGTGTGAATTGTCATTCTGCCTGTATAATCTAACACCATGCTTATACTTTCACTTTGACCCTGGAGCTGAAGACAGTTCCTTCAAAACATTGATATCCCTTGGACAAGACTACATAGAGTTATAACTCAGAAGACTGCAGTCTGATCAGGTTATACTTTACTATAATTCACTGCATGCTTTGGTATGAATTAACTGTTAAACTATTCATAAAAGAACTAATTATACTGTGACATAGGTTTTGTGATAGTTACTGGCATGACTTGCCATCCGTATTTCTAATTGTATGTTAAAACAGTTGATTACTAAGGTTAAACAATATTGTTGTATGAGTGTGACTATAGATGGGTTTTGGATTGATGACCGGATTTAGTGGACTCTTTCATACAGTGCGTGACTACACTTAACAGTTCATTGTTACACACTAGCATCCACAGTCACGTCTTCACTGCAATTGCTTGGTAGTGGCTTACAAAAGCTTCCTCTGGGTCTGAACTGTCCCCAGGCTAAGGTACCAGCTTCTAACAGCAACAGCTCACAATGACTGAGCCCCAGCAGTTGCTAACCAGTCCTGCTTATAACATCTTCTCATGAACTGGGTAGAAAACATCTCTTCCATATTTGCTGTATTTTCTTGTTGCCATGAATTCATGCTTGTTTGATGAGCCATTACTTAGCAGTGGCTGTTGTATAGTTGCTTAATTTGTGGTCATTGCCTAGCATGGTCTACATGCCACAATATCATTACAGCTAAGAGGGAACTCAGTAGAACCCTCCTGAAAATAGAATGGCTTCTGCTTAAGTTTATGCCGTCTCTGTACATTTGTATATCCACATGATGTAGATTTAACTTATTTAGTTAATGGATTTCTTTTTATGATGTCCCATAAAACAGTTTTTTCCCCCTTTATGTTATGGATCAGATACCTTTCTCCTCAAAGCCTGATTTCAGTTATAACATCTTGAAGTTGGTGGCTTGATTTTGTTGTTACTTCTCCTCTTCAGAGTGACAGCAAAGGTATTTGAAATAGAACAGAGACGTATATTTATGTTCACCAGTTATTAATTTAAACTGTTTTCCATAGTCTCTGTGCCGTTACTATGGTAGGTGGAAAAATGTATGTGATCTTCATTGTGTCATATCAGTTTTATATCTTTTGGACAAATTTCAATAAGTATAGGCCTACATGCATTGCAGCCTACAATGGTCATTAATGAAAACAAAATAGAAAATATCTTGTGGCGAAATTACAAGTTTAACATACTTCTTCCCATTCCTTTATTAGCAAAATTTCCAGGGCCATTTAAGAGGTTGAACCTTCACAAGCAAGATGCTTAAATACAGTATTATGGGTTGAACCTTGATTGGTAGACATTCATAATGTTTAATGTGTCAGCTGTGTGACGCGACACGAATAAATTGTGTGGGCCTTCGGATCGGAATGAATTTTTTATTTTGATGCTTATTTGTACACACACTCGTACAGTGATTCACTTAGAGCACTATTATACCATTAGTACACTCTGGAACTCTTCTGCAACAAAGTCTGAGCAGAACCTGCTTCTATCTCGCTAGAGTCGAATCCAAAACTGTGAGTACCACACTCAGAATCTCTACTGTGATTTCACTCAGCATCTCTTGTGATACTTGTAATACTAAACTCTCGCTGGAGCTACACTCATATATCCAGCGTTCAGACCCTTATCGAAGGGTTAATTTCATCCATTGTTATGCAGTGAACAATCTGTTGCTTAGGAAATGCTACCCTTACTCAATACAGAACACCTTGTAGAAGTGTTTGGTTTCATACATTCTTATGGATATTGCTACACAACAGTCTGTTGGTATTCAATTCGTCGCTGTGGGAACTCAACAATTACCATGTATTTGTTGTCATGGAATTGTGTGTTCCCATTGCAGCCATTGCACAGTGATTAACGTCATATAGCACATCACAATATATATGCATATAAGGTGGAAGAAGAAATTTGTCAGATTTTAGAAGTTCCAGAAGTTATAATCAAACTGAAATTTCTGCAAGTTCTATAAGTCCACAGTTCGTAGAATCTACTGTTTTTCCTCTGCAGAAATTTTACAGTAAGGCTGCAGTAAGTGTTCTTTTTCCCAAATATTTACTCTTGAGGCCTTGTGTTTCCTCTGCTTGTTCTGTATGAGTTGTCCATCTTTACATAGTTCACACACTACTGTAGAATTAAAGACAAAGCCAGAAGATATATATCAGCTTGTAGAACTGGAAATGATTGTGACAGAAGTTGCTTTAAGTTCATCTAGTGCATAAGGTTTATTATCTTACTGTTTATCTTTGATAATGTAAAGAGTTACATGATGATACAGGGTGTTCAGTCAAGTAGGAAACTTCACAACAGCATTGACCAGGCTCAATATTCCTCACAGATTGCTGCTGTAACTGTAACGGCGCACATTTATCAACACTATGACTCATTCTGCTATCAGCAGTTACAGCAGCAATCTGTGAGGAATGTTAAGCCAGGTCAGTGGTGTTGCGAAGTTTCCTCTTTAACTGAACGCACTGTATATCTGCGAAAATTCAAGGACAAACTATGACAATTATGTTATCACACACGTTAGAATTTTATCTGAAAGACTGTGGAAAATGAGAAGAGAATATTATTAGCATATATGTGCATACTGGAATGAACTGATAAACTGTCCTGTTAATACATTTTAGTTTTCTTCTTGTTATTCTGTCCTTTTTAATGTAGACTCAAATGTATTTGTACATTGTCACTTTCTTATATATGGTCTGCCTATAATCCTAGGTTTTGTAGTGAACTGCAAGTTGTGGGAACCTATCATTGTTCATTCTGTTCATGTACATAAATGTTCGCATCTGTAATAACCTATTCTTCTGTTCACGGAATAAATGTTTCAGTACTTCCATATACTGTTTCTTAATATTTAATTCTGTGTAATGTGTACATTGTTTGGCATACAGTAACGAAAGAAATTAGTATTTCATTTTTCACAAAATGCACCGTGCATACTGGTATTACAGAAGTGTGTTACTGAGGCATTGTGGCATATAACCAAAAGCTAAACATGACTGCTAATTCTGAGATTCCAGAACTATGTACCAACCGAGAAGATAGAATAGGTCTGGTCTTCAGTCTGTGGATGAACAAAAAATTGTTTTGTTATTGCCCAAAATTTCAGTTCCATGTAGGAATGTGGGAACTGTTTAAAACATTTTTCCTTTGTCTTTTCCCATACTCTCAGTTTTAATATTTCATTTGTTGTTCTACACAGTCTGTGATTCTGGTATACTATAGTTACATCACAGTCAACTTGATAAGAAATATCACATTCTAAATCACAGTTAAAATATTGTGATGTGTTGTGCTAAGGAGGATGGCCCCTCCTTCCCCAGCGGTGACGTGGCGGCATTGGAGCGCTGTCGTTACTACAGTAACAGACAAGTCAACACTCCTTCCCCTACCCCGACAGCAGTGACGTAACACTTTTGGAGTGTTGCTGTTGCTACGGTAATAGGCCAGTCAACACCCTGCCAATCAACACCAAGGGATGCCGCTGTTGCTATGTAGCAGTAAACAACTCCCGACAGCGTTGCTAGGCTATCAGCAAACATGGTGTCGGACAACAGTGGTGCCTATTAGGTAACTGTTTTCTGTGTTGTCGGTAACGGGGCTAAATAAGGAGAAGTGAAGACTATTCACAGCCAGTTACAAGTTAGCCAGCAGTGAGTGAGTTAGTTATGAGTTAGCCAGCAGTGAGTCAGTTAGTTACGAGTTAGCCAGGGAGTCAGTTAACCAGTCAATAGGTGTCTATTTCGTCGGAGTATTTCCGATACTGCCAGTGGCAGTAATTGTCAGATTGTAAATTGTGTGATTGTAAGAGCGAGTGGAATAAATTCGCTATATCAAATAAGGTGTGAAGTTATTTGTCGCGTTATATACCCAACATGTGACAATATGTTACCTGCACTACAACTACTTTTAGGATCTTTATTTTGCAAAGTGGCTTTATTTTTACCTGTGGTGACAGTATTATGTTAAGTGGACCAGAAAGGATTTAAGAGAGAGGTTTTTAGACCTTCTTCCTATCTCTGGCTGATAAATTAATCACCAGCAAAGATTAAAATATTCTTAAACCAACTTAACATTTGGGTTCCCATCTTGATTTGTTTCTTCAGATTTAATTATATTATATATGCAACTTAGAACACTTTACCTTAAATGAACTTTTCAAAACTTGAGAAAATGTCAGCTTTGTCTTTCCTTAATTTGGTGTAATTAAAATTTTGTTTAATGGATAATACTAAATTAATTTACAGTCACATCTTACTGATGTTAAAGTTTAGACTATTTACATACTTCAGTAATTGTTACTATTTTTACTTTTTAAGAATGTTTGATGTACACTCAACTCTCGATTGTCCGGGGGTGAATAAATTGGTTTGCGGCTTAACCGGGGCTAGCAGGACTTTTTTGAGGTTTATATGTTGTTTAATATTCATTCACTTTTAGTTACTATAGGATTCTGACGATGGTGTATAACACACTAATATGTTGGGTTTTTGGACTTTATCCATCATCCTGGTTTTTAAGATAACAAATAAAAACACGACGTTTCAGAAACAGATCCAGTTTCCGAAACGTCCTGTTTTTATTTGTTATCTTAAAAACCAGGACGATGGATAAAATCCAAAAACCCAACATATCAGTGTCATTCAATTTTGTTTCACATTGTGAGTTGTAACACCACTTTTGCACTAGTGTGAACCGAGCTCTGCATTTTTTGGTCCCGTTATGCTAACACAGTGTTCTGGGGTAGGGGTGAAAGAATGCAAGGATTTGTGGAAAGTTTCAAGGACAGATACACCGCCCAAGTTAGTCTCTTTGTATCAATCTTCAAGTGCGTTAGCAAAATGTCAAGTGTAAAAGGAAGCATGTTGTGTTAAGTATGCAAAAGAAAAAGTAAAATGCCGCAAAAAAGTAAATGACAGTATTAAATTTTTTAAATGTTAAGTGTGAATATTTGTAAAAATTGTTAGATGTTGTTGAACACTGTGATTGAAGTAACTAATTCATACTTCAGTGTAATGTAAAAAAAGTATTAAATAGGCCATGAGATGACATAAAAATGAGGTTGAATAAATTTAAATACAGGTAGGCCTATAGTATATGAAGGTACAGTATTACAGTACTACTTTTAATAAAATTTGTCTTAACCGGGTTTTCATTTAATTGTGATTTCCATCCTCACCATTATCCCGAATAATCAAGAGTTGAGTGTATTTATATGTACTTGTTTATGTTAGTTTATTGTACAGTGCACAATCAATTGTTTGTTATAATTTATGTTGAAATGTATTTTGAACATAAATGATTTCAACCGACTACAGATACATTTTAATGTATATGTTGTTTTAATTATGTTCTGATATAGTGCCTTAATATATAGACAATGAACAAAACATAATTTATAGGCATAATCTTTGTTTCAAAGATTTAAGCAGTGTCAAAAGTATGCTGCATTTAAGGTGCCATGGATTTATCTCATCCATAGTGTCTGAAGGAAGTATTTTTCTGGAAGTAAATTGTTTGTCAGATACGGTCCCTTGTGCCACATGGGAAGGAAGGCCCATTTCCATTGAATGCATATTAAGTGTAGATTATTAGTGGCTGAGCCTATGAGAAGAGGGATGGGAATGATTTACATAGCTGAAGATGAAGAGATGGAGGCAGAGGCAAATATTAAGAAGAATTGGTGTATATCATAAAGGAGGCTAAAGTTCTTAGAGGGGTGTAGAGTTGATGAATAAAACAGTAAGTATAAAGTGCAAATGAGCATACAGACATGTAAATGGTTGTCAGCATTCAATGAAAAGACATCTGCAAGGTTGGTATTTCTTGTTTATACTGCACGAAAGATGAATTTTGCCAAAGTTAAAACATTTGCAACTTTCCATGATTGTATCATCTTGTGCCCACCCAGTAAATCATACAGACTAACTGGTTTTCGGAAACGTACAGTGGGTGAACGGGAGAACTTAATAATAACATTGTATCAAGGATCTATGATGCTGAAGAGTGCAATATTGTAGCATGTAATACCGCTGCTATGCAACGATCGCACGAAGGATCATGCGTTGCTAACGCTAGGCAACCTCCCACAACAATAGAAAAACTGTAGGAGTCGGTGTTTTCTGTTGGATACACCCTGATGCTATATAGAGGGGACCCCAGGCCATCTGAGTGAGTTCGGTTGCGGGATATTTGCCGAACAGTAATGACATGCACGCGGGAAACTGAGGACTCTCCACTGTTAGAAGGGGCAGCAATTGAAGACATAGCAGAATGGAAACTGGCTTAGTGGCTGCTGTGGTAATTTTTGAAGTGTTAGATTAGCGCTAGCATTGTAATTATTTGTAGATCCGAGTGGTGTTAATAAATCCAATCTATACTTCGTCTATAGCCACACCCCTATGCACCTGAAAGTATTCTGGTACATGATGTGTAGTTGGGAACAAGTTTACTGACGTTTAGAAGGAATGTACTGCCCCCATTTTCAGGGTCAGAGAATGAGTCATACAACCAACCAGCAAGGAGGAATCTGATCATTACTGGCCTTTTTTTTATTGCTAGTGGGGTGGGACTAAGTCCCTTGTACTGCGGCCACTTCTGGCCCATTGTACCAGCCCCAGATGATAGGTGAGCGTGATTGTGGAGCAATTGGTGGAATGAAGATTGGCAGGGAAAACCGAAGTACTCTGAGAAAACCTGTCCCAGCTCCACTTTGTCCACCACAAATCCCACTTGATTAGACCCAGGATCGAACCAGGGCCGCCGCGGTGCTCTTCATAGTTACTACCAATTGAATCTCAAATCCAAGATATGAAATTGAAAGCGAACAATACGGTGCGAACTTAATTTGAGACAGATAACTTTCTCGAGAGATAAATACTCAGTGGACCAGCATAATGGTAAGAATCTATACCCATATGCGGGAGCTGATCAGTTCGAATCTTGGTCAGGACAGTAGTCATCATGACTCAGTATTTTCCTGGTTCCTAAGTCCCTCCAAGCAAATGCTGTGGTCGCAACCTGTGTGTACAACTACCCCCCTTCCTTCCAGATTCTTCCAGTTCAACTGTCATCCTACCATTTCGCGGAATGGTCTAGCTACCGACTACATCGTAAAATAACCTACACACTCATCCATCTAGAGATGAGGGTGAAGTATACCAGGTTTCCTTTGTGATAAATTTGGTATTCAAGATGTACTGCAGTTTTTTTTATGCTAGTGGGGTGGGACTAAGTCCCTTGTACTGCGGTCATTTCTGGCCTATTGTACCAGCCCCAGATATGTGAGGGTGATTATGGAACAATAGGTGGAATGAGGATTGGCAGGGGAAACCTATGTACTCGGAGAAAACCTGCCCCAGTGCCACTTTGTCCACATATTCCACTTGACCAGACCCGGGATCGAACCCGGGCCACCACGGTGGGAAGCCAGCGACTAACCGCTTGAGCTATGGCGCGGCCCATGTACTGCAGTTACTTGCACTTCCGCAGCAATTTTTCGAAGTACCCGATAATGACCATATCGATCGAAACATGTAGTACCCCAGTGATGTGAAGAAGAAAAAAAATTTAATTCAAAATACGTGAATTTTAAGATTTTAACACAAGTTTGCATGCGAGACTGTGGATAAGAAATATTCAAGACAGAATGAGGGCCGGCGCGCAAGCACAGGCAGTCAATGCGCACGCTTGGGGCTGCACATTTCAGGATGAAGCCTTGACATTACATCCAATGTCCGTGTGCGATTTAAGAAGGGCAACAGAAATGTTATTCACTTGTGGCGGCACAGATTTTCGCTGGCCCTGCATAGAAAACCATTTATTTTTCTATAAGATACGGAACACGGTAGCGTAGTTGGTTGAGGCAGTGAGCTACAAGTCAGAAGGTCACTGGCTCGATTCCCGATGCGATCATTGGTCTTTTAATTTACCAAATCCTTCCAGCTGCACTATGGCCCTGGGGTCGACTAAACCTCTAACAGAAATGTGTACCAGGAATCTTCCTGGGAGTAATGGGCGGCCGGCACGTACGGCTGACAACCTCACCGCAATCTGTGAGCAGATTGTTTAGAAAATGGGGGTGCCTCGACGTCTCACAAGCCTATGGGCCTCCAAATCCTGTTACAGGGATAACTTTATATTTTTTTTTACATACTTCAAACCATGAGATGATGAACCATATCTCGTTTGTTGGTTCATTCATTTTAACCAGCTTCCCTTTCTAAAGAGGGGGAAATTTTAAACTTCTGAATCTGCCGACAGAACCACAATTATGAAAGCAGATGTTCGAAACGAGAACTTCCCGAAAATGAGACTTTATTGTCATACTTAGAAAATAAAGGCCTATACAGCACGAAATGTGCCTTGATGCCATCATTCATCATCATCATCATCATTGGCAAACAACCCTTTTTAAGCCATAGCCTTCCGTAGAGGATTCTTCCAGGCTTGTCTATAGACCGTACAATTTTCAATTCTTTGAATTCCCCAACATTAATTTTTGTACAGAGCAAAGTAGTCAGGCTTGTGTTCAACCCCAACCTGGAGCATCAAGTCTCTGTCTTTATGTT